CATATTCGGCTTCATTGTTCGAGGCCTTAAAAGAAAATTTTAGTGCATACTCAAAGGATTTGCCTTCGGGAGAAGTTATCACTACTCCTGCCCCCGAACCGTTTTCGGTGGAAGACCCATCCGTAAACACGGTCCAGACTTTCTTGTCACTGTCCAGCACTTCTTGGTATGAGCATTCGGCCAAGAAATCCGCCAGGGCTTGAGCCTTGATGGCAGCCCTCGGACGGTAGCTGATGCTGAATTCGGTGAGCTCAAAAGCCCACTTGGCTAGTCTACCGGATTTTTCAACCTTGCCAAGAACTTTTTCCAATGGCTGATCAGTTAAGACCACTATCTGATGGCAATCAAAATAGGGCCTCAGCTTCCGAGCAGCTACTACTACCGCGAAAGCAACTTTCTCGAGTAGAGGATAGCGGGTCTCGGCATCCGTCAGTGTATGACTGACGAAATAAATCGGTTGCTGACTCTTACTCTCTTCCCTCAGCAATACTGCGCTGATGGTGGCCGGGCTAACGGCCACATATAGGTATAGAGTTTCTCCTTCAACTGGGCTAGCCAGCGTTGGGAGTTGAGCCAGATGCTCCCGAAGCTGTTGAAAGGCGTCTTTTTGCTCTTCCTCCCAAACAAGCTCTTTTGTTTTCGGGAGTTTCAGGGCTTTGAAGAAGGGTAACCCCTTATCCGAAGCTCTGGAAATGAACCTCGAGAGGGCTGCCATTCTTCCGGTGAGCCGCTGAACATCCCGCTTCGTTTTCGGCTCAGGAAGGTCGAGCGCCGCTTTGACTTTAGAGGGATTGGCATCAATCCCCCTTTTGCTGACCATGAAACCCAGGAATTTCCCTGACTTCACGCCGAAGACACACTTCTTCGGATTCAGCTTCATTTGATGCTTTCTCAAGGTGGCGAAAGTTTCAGCCAGGTCCTTTACATGGTCCTCTAGTTTTCTGCTTTTGACGATCGAATCGTCAACATAGACTTCCATGTTTCGGCCCTTTTGATCGGCGAAAACTTGATCCACCAGCCTTTGATAGGTTGCCCCCGCATTTTTCAATCCGAAGGGCATCATTTTGTAATTATACACCCCAGCGTTCGTGACGAATGCTGTCTTGGCCCGATCGTCGGGGTGCATAAAGATCTGATGATACCCCGAGAATGCGTCCATGAAACTAAGCAAGGCATGGCCACTTGTCGAATCGACTAGCTGATCGATTCTTGGCAAGGGATAGAAATCCTTTGGACAAGCCTTATTTAGGTCCGTGAAGTCAACGCACATCCTCCAGGTACCATTGGGCTTCTGAACCATCACCACATTTGCCAGCCATTCCGGATATTGGCAAGGTTCAATGAATCCTGCCTCCAACAATTTTTTGACTTCGGCTGCGATGTCTCGGTTCTTATTGGCGGAGTAATTCCGCTTCTTTTGCTTAACTGGTCGACACGCTGGGTCAACATTAAGCTTATGGGAGATGAGGTCTGAACTTATCCCGGGCATATCAGCTGCCGAGAAAGCAAACACATCTCTGTTATCCCGAAGGAGCTGAATAAGTTCACAACGGGTGTCAGGATCAAGGTCCATCCCGATTGTTACACATTTCTCAGCATCTCCTTCGGCCAACTCAACTGTTTCAGTCTGTTGGTCCATGTCCATTGCCGATGGACTGGACTCTTCAGAATCTGGTCTGCTGCCAATGTCAGCAGGTGTCCCAGTCTTTGTGTTTTTCGGCTGGCTCTCTGAGTCTTTCGGCTCAGATGAAGAGTCAACCTTTTCCCTTTCGGGACCTTTTTCTCTGGGCACTGATCCTTGGGCCGAAGCACTTAGGCCTTTCGGCTTTTTTGTGCTTGGCTCTCTTTCTTTTTCTTTCTCCTCCTCATCCTTGTCGTTATCTGGGCGACTACTGGATGGCTTGAGGTAGTTGCACCTTCGGGCGTCCTTCTGGTTGCCCTGTATCCTTTCGGGGAAGCCGGCGTCTGAGACGTAAATCATCAGCTGATGATAAGTTGAGACGACCCCTTGGATCTCGTGAATTATGGGTCTCCCCAAAATCACGTTGTACACTGAAGGAGCGTCGATGACCAAAAACTCAATCATGACGTTCCGGGCTGCCTCATCGCAACCGATGGTGACAGGAAGTGTCACCTTCCCATCTGGATAAGTTGAAGCCCCATTGAACCCGGATACCGGATAGGGTACCGGCGTAAGGTGCTTGGGCTTCAGCTTAATTTGGTTGTAGGCCTTTCGGAACAGAATGTTTGCTCCGCTGCCACCGTCAACAAGGACCTTACTGACGTCGTGGTTGGCCACCGTGGCGATGATCACCAACGGATCCTCGTGAGGAAACGTAATCCCCCGGCAGTCGGCGGCTGTGAACGTCATGTTCGGCACCGGCGACTGGGGAGATTGAATGTCAGCGTTGTTCACCTGGTGAGTCAAAGCTCTAAGGTGACGCTTGTGCTCCCTCCGAGAGTATATTCCTCCCGAGATAACATTGATCGGAGGGAATTTCCCCTCCGGTTTTTTACTGTTTTTCCGGGGGAAATCAAGGTCCTGCCGTGGGTCCTTTGCTAACCTTTCGGATTCTTTTTTCTCGCGGTGATCCGCGATGTATTTTTTCAAGTATCCCTTCCGGACCATGTCTTCTATCTGGTCCTTCAGCTGGATACACTCCTCAGTGTTGTGGCCCGAAGAATCGTGGAACTCACACCACTGATTTTTATTTTTTCGCTGATACCACTCTGGGAGTGGTCTCGGCTTTCGGTAACTCTGCTCCTCCTTCGTCACACTGTAAATTTTGGCGCGTGGAAGAGAGAGCGGAGTGTAGGACTCGTATCTGCCTGTGTATGAGGCAAACCTGTCCTTCTTTAGGTCGCTGGCCGAAGATGGCTCCGAGGCCTTTGATTTTCCCTTTGCCTTATGGCCTTGGCCTTCAGACAAGGGTATTTGCCTCTGTTTCCCTCCCCCGGATTGAGGTTGGGTTTTTGCTTTATTCCATTCTTCGGCTCGGATGAACTTATCCGAAGCACTAAGAGCTTCCTCCAAGGTCTGCGGGGTATGCATGACCATGAAGTCTAGGAATTTTCCTGGCTGAAGGCCATTCTGCATTGCAAAAACAGCTAGCCCCTGGTCCAGCTGAGAGACGCTTGATGACTCGTTACTGAAACGGGTCAGGTAGTCTCGGAGGCTTTCGGTTTCCCCCTGTTGCAGACCCATGAGCTCTGCGGTAGTCTTCTCTCGGCGGTTTGCCGTGGAAAACTTGCTCCTGAACTTGGAGGACAGATCATCCCAACCTGTTATGGAGCCTTGCCTTACTCCCTTGGAGATCCACGCTTGCGCGACCCCCTTGAGAGTGGTTGGGAAATATTTGCACCAAGTCGCCTCGGATCTGGGGCAAAGATGCATATGAGTCTCATACGAGGCCACGTGGTCCTTCGGATCCGTGGTCCCGTCATATGTGATATGCGACGGTATTTTAACCGTGGGTACGCGCTCTTCCAGTATCCATTGCTCGAATGGTGAACTAGCGGGAAGCATAATGGCCTTGCCCTTGTTCCTGGCCGAAGGGACCGCGCTCCGCCCTCTTAGAGAGGTAGGAGTGGTTTTCGTCCCTGGCTGGGAAGTCTGGGCCTCGGCTGCAGGGAACGTGAGGCGACTACGCACGCTCGGTTCCTGGCCGCCGAGTCGGTCAAGGACGCTTCTGCGAGCAGTCTCAGGTTCCCGGCGAGTAGATTCTGGCCGAGAAGCTGAGCTGCTGCTCTTATGCGCTGCTGGTCTTGAGGATGAGGATCCTTTAAATAATTGAGAGTTCTTCTTCCTCTGTTTTTCATTTTTCCAAGAATCCTCCTCCCATTCTTCCAGTTCCCGGAAGGAAGGAAGCTTCCCACCGTCATGGTCTAACTTCCTCCGCTGATGCCGGGTATGCGGAGGAGTTCGATCACGAGGCGGTGGCATATTCTGTGCCCTCATTGCCTCCATGAGTACTGCCAGCGCTCTTGCCACCTCTTCCGAACTGGGCCCCGTCAAAGGGGTCCCCGGCCGAGTGTGGGCATGAGGCCGTGCAGCCGATGGTTGGCTTCGGGACACTGAATATGTCCTATGATCAGACTGACCCCTGCTAGACCGAGAGTGGTCCGGCCTATATTGAGAGTCATGCATTATAGGAGATAGGGAATCCTCCTTGTGTGATCCTCCCCCCGAGCCGGCACCCTTGGGAGAGTTCCGGTCCGGCGAGGGCGATGGCGTAGGGGTTTTAGGCTTTTCGCCCGCTCCTTGACGGAGGCTTTTGCTCTTGCGGTTCTTAGCCATGGCTGCTAAGATAATTGCAAGATGATCTTGGTTAGGAATTTGGCTTAAAGATTTTTGAAAGTCTTCCCCACAGACGGCGCCAAATTGTTTCGGTTGAAAACAATGGGACCTTGCCGAAGGTCCACTGAAATGGAGAAGACTGGATTCGATCCAAGCTGTGTTGGGCCGAAGGTTTCCTGCACAGTGAACACACGTAAACTAGCCTCGGGGGTGTTTCCGAGGAAGGCCCCTCCGATGCTAAAGTCAGTACAATGTGTAAAAAGGAAGACACTATGCAAGAGAGTTTGTAGCTTGAGGCTTTTGTGGAGTATTTCTCAATGCAAGAATGAGCATATGAGTTGGAATAATCCGTGTATGAGATAATGTATGTGATCTCGTGTCTGATAGTGTATGTGATCTCTCCTTGAATGTGTTAATATGAGGGCTTTTATACCTCATCATACTTGGAGAGGTTGGGCTTTAGCCCAATTGGCTTACTTTGTGGGCTGACTTTTGACTTTTGAGCAATTGGAGAGTTGAACCTTGACCTTGGGCTTTTAATTGGATCATTTAGTGCTCAGGCCCAATTTTGACTAAATTGGACCCAAACACCACCCATATCAGTATATCACTGTAAGGATAAGGATGATAAAAATATGAAATTCTACTAATAAACAATCTGATAGTATTCTAATTAGAATAAATCTAATAAATGACAAAAATATAACAGAGAATTTTAAGCTTAAAAGTATATAATTAACTCAAAAAAACACTAAATAGTGACAGTACAGTCGATAACACTAATGGACAATTACTACACGAGCAACTGAGCAAGTAGGAGTACAGTACTTGTTACATTAACAACAAACCCGTCAATTTGCATGCATTGGGACCCACATTTCACTAACACTTATTCAACGTGGGCCCCTCACTACTTTAATCACACTTACCCAACCACCAGGGAATCTAATTCCTCTTCGTTTTCAATTCCCCCTAAATTACAAAGGATACAATCGTAATTGTACATCTTTTCCCCAATAACATTTAATACAATTATTAATTAAAATTATCATCTAACTTTTCATAACGTTAGCAATTATTCGGCGAAAAAGCAACTTGAGATCTAGCAAGATCGTAATGAACACGTATCCCTTGTTGTTGTACATTCCCTATTATCGACATAGACGACGTCGTTTCAGCGAATGCAAAGCAATACGTTCCTGCTGAGTCCACCGGAATCAAGTAATTCTTCGCCGGTAAATCAAGGGATTGTCCGCCGGCGAAGTGGAAAGCAACCGTCGGAACTTTAACGCTACTCATTGACGAGAAATCGTAACAAGTATCAAACAGTGCTACTCCCGTTGTTGACTTTAGGTGCGGCGTTAGCCGAGTGAATGCGGTTCGAAGCGAATTGTAGGCTTGAGTTGGTAGCCGAGTTATGGCTGTGCCTGAATCAACGATAACCCCGCCCGAACCCCCCTCGTCTACATCGAATAATGTTGGTGGGACGGAGATCTGCTGACCACCTACGCTGAACCCACTGAGTCCCACGTAGTAGAAGGTGTTCAGTTTATTGTTCTTGATCAGTGGCGCGGTTACGCAGTCCGCTGGTTTCGCGGAGTTGAACTCGAGTGAAGAGCTTTTGGGGGAGTCACGGTCGACTAAGCAGTAGGAGAACGAGGTAGCCTTGATTTGTGAGGGTAATGAGAGCGGGCCACCACCAAGCCCGAGAAGCCCGGCAGCACCTACGAAGAGTCCTTCGTTGTCGTGACCGCATCCTATTGCTACCTTTGGGATTTTCCCTGAGGTGCCAAACGACACCGTTTCGGTGACGAATTCACCGACGGTGTAGGACCCGTCGCCGTAGGAAACCTGGTAGAGACACGCGCTGTTGCGGCACGCGCTGACCTCGAGGGTGGAACACTCACGTGTGCTGCACGTGAGAGGGGAGTAAGTAGAGGAGGATGAAGGGGTGTAGATTGGGTCGCTTTGCTGGTAGCAGTCGGAGCAAGGTTGACATTGGAGCCAGCTGACGTCACTGCCTGTGTCAATAACCATGAAGTACTCCTTTGAAGGGGAGCCGACACCGACGCGTGAGAAGTACTCGCCGGAGCCGAGGCTGGTTCCGGAGGAGACGGGTGCCTCGAGGTCTTCCGCGGTGAGGACGGCCTCCATTGGTTTAAGGGCCGAGCGCGAGAAGCCTCGGAGTTTAAACTCGGCCTTGGAAACTAGAGAATTGACATGTGCGGAATCACGAGCGAGGCGGGATTGCACGAGTTGTTTGTAGTCTGTGTAGTGGTGGGCGTGGAGGGAGATTCGTGGGTGGATTTCAACAGAGAGTGTGCCGTCATCATATTTGTCGGGCTGCTGATGTACTTGTTGGTTAAGCTGGGCGTTGTCGGCGGAGAAGAGGTTGAGGGTGGAGCGGAGCGAGGCGGAGACATCGAAAGAGTAGTAAGTGAAGGCGGCGGAGGTTGAAAGAGAAGGGAAGAGGAGGACAGAGAGAGTAAGAATGGTTGTAGTAAAGGTACTACAACCTTTACCCATTTTGATTTTAAAGAGAAATGGGAGTGGAAGAAATTGAGTGAGGGAGATAAGATGATGGGAGTTGGGGGTTATATTGAAGGATTAAAGGAGGGAGAAAATCACGTCAGGATTGTTGGGAAGAAAACAAAATAATAAAAGAGGGGAAGGTGGAGATTGATGAATGAAAAGAAAACAGCCAATTTAATTTTGAAAAAGAATAGTAGGTCCCTTCTGCCTTGAAAAGTCTGTCGGTTGGGAGATATTGGTAGAAATTCAATGATCCCTTTTTTTTTTGGTGCTACTTACTATCCTCTACACCATTCACTTGCCATATTACTTCACTTAACAAAGCCCAGAAAAGAGAAGGCGAGAAAGCTTTGGCTCTATTTGTTCAACTGCAGCATCGTGCTGTTCGTAAAGCAGATGAATATGCTTTTGCAGCTTTGATCTCTGCCGTTCAAGAGTGCCCAGTTTCATACCCCTCCATGCACAGGTCATAGTATATGGATTGGATACAAGTGTGTTTGTAGGGAGTCCATTGATTTCTATGTATTTTGGACATGTCAAAATTCAATCTGCTCAAGAGGTTTTCCATACGATCTCAAAGAAAGACGTGGTTCTGTGGACTGAAGTGATTTCTGGTTACTCTAAACTTGAAGATAGGAAAAATGCAATCAAATTTTCCTATGATATGCGTCAACTGGGTCATAAAATTGATGACTTGAGTGCATGTGCTGATCTTGCAACTTCGAATCACAATATTGTTTTGTATGCAGTATTATGTACCTACAAATGACTAATGGTGGTGAGCCATCCTGGTAACAATACGGCGATACAATTGAAGGCTAACCAGTGTTTTTTGTAGGCGGAAATTCTTCAAACATTGATATGAAGTACAAAAAAATGCCAACCAGTCATTTCTATTTCTTATAACAAAATATACTGACGTTAAGTCTACACACCAGCTTGATTCCACACTATGTTACACATGAAAAAAAACCAAGCTCAATATCCACATGGTACGTTGGTACATACACTAAATCCTCAAATATCCCTGGACCAAACTTGTAAAATCATGTGAGTCGAGGTATCCAAACTACCAAAGATCAAATGCCCGCAAAACAGTGCACATATATCCAGTGATTAAAAACATTATCTGTGTGCCCGAGGCCCCAAGCCTTCTACTGAGTTCAATTCACCTGTAGACTACAGCAGTCAGCAGCAGCATGTTATAGATCAGCGATTCAGCAGCAGCATGTTATAGATCAGCGATTCAGCGGCAACATGTTATAGACAAGTTTCATTCTTGATTTATCACCTAATCTTGATTAACAGAGCAAACTTGTAGCCTCGTAATCTACCTTACTCTTCACTTTCCTCTTCAGCCTCTATCTTCAGATGATTAAAATTCCTTTCCAGTGGCGGAAGCCCGTCATCAGAATCATCTGAATTGGCTTCTTCATCACTCAATGCTTCATCTTTATCTTCTTCATCTTGTAGAATATTAGAGGCCTGTAGGTTTTGTTGTTTGGATATCCAAGCATTCTGAGCTGAAATTATCTCAGCACTATCTTTGCATTCAGAATAAGCTTTAAGGAGCTCCTTGTTAAGTGACAAGAACGCATGCCCCCACTTGAACTTTCCCGGCACCAAATGCACCGTCTCCTCTTCACCCCAGATCAACAGCGCAGCAGCTAATGCTTCCACACAAGATAGCTCACATGGCCTGCCATAATTCACCGAATTTGCTGCTACCAACCATGGTAATAACCGAGGAGCAGTACAACAAAGTTTAGCAAATGGAACATCAGTCAATCGGTGCCATGAGCAGTCCACAACAGCCAATCCTCTCTGCTTGATCAAAGGATAGTCTTCTCTAGATACAAAGTGAGTTCCAACAGGACTCAAGACGATGCCCCCAAATCCAGCATTCACACGCAATTCTTTTAACAAATTAAACCTAGCCAGCTTCCGTCCTGTACACCTTTTTGCATCACATTGTCCAAAATCCCACATAGCAAGCTGAACTCCAGGAGTAGGTTGTTCATTCTCTTGGTCTAAGTCATGTTCGGATGGGAGAGACCTGCCCCTCCATAGAGGGCTCACAGCTGGAGCTCAGTTGACCTCGCTGGGAGCGGTGATTCTTCTGCTTCCTGGGTGGTTTGTGTCCTCCCATATGTTATCACAGAAGACAACAAATAAATATATATCCTGCAGTATAACTTCGATTTAGAATGGCTTCAAACATACAAAAACAAATGAAGCAAACAAGTAGCAGTCTCACAAAGAATTGATACTAGCCAAAAAGACAATGATCCCATTAGCAATACCCTAAGCTTGCTAGGGTGTACAGTTCTGTTTATCTCATGAAATTACGAATAACACCTTCGATTGCTATCAAATTCTGCAAATGCATACACACATTTGAAGAGCAATGGCAAGGCACTTGACAAACGCTCCTTTCATATAACTTCAAACCTACAAGATTTGATGCTTTTAAAGCTCTTACACCCAATTGTTTTCATCTTTACAGTCAAATTCAGAGTGATAGCAACTACACAGAACCCCGGAAGGCGATAACGGAACCTGAACCTTAATCCATTGAAAGGGTAACTTACAAACAACAAATCAAAACATAAATTCAAATAAAGCACCTAATAAGAAGATAATGATCATTAATAAGTGAAAATGTCTACTAACCATAGATTATTCATAAAAAGGACCAAACTTTTGCCCAAAAAATCACATCCCCACATTGCATAATTCTTTAAAAAGATTATAAACTAGCCAAGCATAAATTAGAACTTCAACAAAAATGATTTCATAAAAACCCAACAACCAGTAACTCAATAAAAATGGAATTGAACTATCATCAATCAACAAAATTTTCTTCACATACAAAATTGAAATTAAACATCTCATCTAAATGATTAGAATATTTCAATAAACATTAATTCGATTCGAAGACCATTGAATATATTTTAATTAAAAAATAAATAAAGAGAGAGAATGATAAAGAGTGAAGGAGGGCACTTACCGGAGAAAATGGAGAGTGGTGGTTTACAGGAATAGCAAAGCGGTTTACAAAACTTGATCAGTAGTAAGCCGTGAAGGGTTGTGCAGATTGCAGAGGTACGAAAAAAAAAGGTTCCTAATTTGATCGAGCATCAATTCAAAATGAAATGTTGAAAAACGAGAAAATACAAAATAATCAGGTTGATATATCAAGAGGGTATAATAGTCATTTTATCAATTAATTTGTGGGCAACATAGTAATTTCAGTACTTTCTTCCTCTTTCCAATCCTCCATTCTCTAGCCGTCTAGCTTCCTCCATCATCTCCTCCTCCATTTCCATCCCATTGATCAGTAGTTAAAATTGCTGTCGCAAAGAACATGCTTCCCCTAAGGAGTTGGTATGACCTCTTTTCACATTTTTTGTTACTAGGGTTTTGTTTTGTTCCGCCGCATTGAGGGCTTGAGAAAGGAAGAAAACGAGAAGGGCGACGGGGGAAGAAGAAGATCGGCGTTGATCGGTGGTAGTTGTGATGGGTTTCGGGTGGTTGAGGTGGTTGTGATGATGGTGACGTGATGGTGGTGGCGTGGTTGAGGTGGCTGAGAAGATGGGTTTGTTTTTTTTTTAAAAAAGAAAAAAAAAACCAGACTAATTAATAAATTTTGTATTTGTTAATGTTTCGGGTGAAAACATTGGGACCTTGCCGAAGGTCCGCTGAAACGGAGAAGACTGGATTCGGTCCAAGTTATGTTGGGCCGAAGGTTTCCTGCACAGTAAACACACGTAAACTAGCCTCGGGGGTGTTGCCGAGGAAGGCCCCTCCGATGCTAAAGTCAGTACAATGTGTAGAAAGAGAACACTATGCAAGAGAGTTTGTTGCTTGAGGCTTTATTTGAGTATATGAGAATATATGAATCTATGAATGTATATCTCTGAATGTATGAATATTGATGGCTTTTATACCTCTTCATACATGGAGAAGTTGGGCCTTAGCCCAATTGGCTTGCTTTGAGGGCTGACCTTTGACTTTAACACAATTGGAGAGTTGAACCTTGACCTTGGGCTTTTAATTGGATCATTTAATGCCTAGGCCCAATTGGACTAAATTGGACCCAAACAGTTAATAATCAGTCTAATTAACTGGGACAATCCCGTTGCAAAACATGTTCTTAATTGAGATTATTTTGTAATAGCTCGCATTAAGTTTTTGTGTGACAAATCAATCAACATTTTATCGCTTTTTTGTGGCTGACTCACCCTCTTGATTCTTCAACCATTCTCATCATCAATGACGGACAAACTGCGACACCATAACAAATTAAGGGCATATGGTTAACTCCAAGTTGTAGGTGTTTGCCGTTGTTTATGAGCTGTCCCTTCATTGTTTAAGAATTTCTCATCCTCCAATCCTCCATTGTTGAGGATAGATAACTAGGTATGTGGGTTGTCTATTTTGCTGAAATGATACAAATATCCTTGCTTGTTTGAGCAAAAAGACGAAAATACCCCTATATTTCTCATGAATAAAAACTTGTATTTTCTCATGAATAAAATGACACAATCCCTCCTTTTTGTTAGAATCTGTCTTAAAACTACTTAAAATAGACATATCTATTGCTGGGAAGCTAAGATAGGGTTTGTCATCGAAAAAGTTTATGAACAAATGACGTTAGCATGGTAATAAAAAAAATAAAATAAAAACATGCATATGGCGTTGTTTTGATTGATCTTGTTCTTTTAGCTTATCAACTGGGTTCGATCCAAATCAAAGCAATGCGAACTAAAGTAAGTGGGATCCAACCATAGAAAATTTCTAAGTTGAAAAGTTATAAGTTGGATATTCGACCAATACAATGAGGTTATTTCAATGTTTAACTTGCAACTTTTGAATATTGTTAACCTAACTAGGTTAACTAGTCTGCTGAAAATGCTTGTCGGGTTGTCACACAAGCCAAGTGAATTTTATTTAAAAAATTTACATATAAGGTTCACGAATTTGAAAAACTTAACCATTAGGACGAAGTTGAACGTATATTGAAAGATTGTAAACTTCAATACATGGAATTGGAGACCTTTTCATCTTTCTATTAGGATATTAGTCGAACAATTTGGTTGAGGCCTATATTGCACGAATAACATAAGTTTTGGAGTCAATTAATTCCATATAGGTAAGTAGATTACAATGAAAGTTTTTGTTACCATTGTTATTTGATAAGTAATCTTAGTTTTGAGTTCAGTCAAGTTATCTGGTCGGGTCGAGTTAAAACCACTGAGGCAACAAGCAAGTCTACTATGCATTTGATATTCTCAATGACCCAACAAGAAACAAGGGCAAAGAAAAAGCAGTCCAACAAAGCAAGGCCCAAAATCAACGCATGTAATTCAGACAGCAAACAAACAATGTTCATAGTCGTTTAGCAGCACTCTAGGAAATTCTTGTTCTGCATGCTTTATTTGAAGAAATTTAATGAAGATTTCAAAACCCTTTTTACTATCATCTCTTTTGGTGCTACTATCCTCTATAATTATAGCCTCAATATTCATTAAAACGCCTCAGAGTTCCAAGGAAAGCATCACTATTACGGAAGAACAAGAAAATGGGGCATCAATTTTTGAACAATTTGGAGTGAAGATTGACAAGAACCCTCCTCAATCTAAGCTTGATGAACTTCAAGTCAACACCTGGTCCAAGTAATATTCAATTTCCTTTCTTTTGATTATCAAATTCATTGCTTTTGTTTGTTTTGTTGATGGGGTAAAAATTTAGTCTTCAATTTAGGGTTTTAATCAAAAAATGGAGTTTTGGCGATCAAGAAATTATCTTTATGTAGAATTAGAATTATTATTATGCAGTTTTGATTGTACTTTATGAATGTATGATGTTCTGGTGAATTACATGAATATGTTTAACAATTACATTCAGTGTCGCAGGGCATAATTTGTAATTAATTGGAAAATGTCCTTATTTTTTGAGTAATTTTTGTGAATTGATGTGATTATATAAACTATAATGCCATAACTTGGTGCCTGAGGGCCGAATACTCGAATAGTGGTTATTATATAGCTTGATGGTTTATGGGAAAGATTAATCTGTATGTTGTTTGTTTATTATACACTGAAATACTCCGATACTCGGACATGGGTATTACAAGGAGAGTGCTAAAAGTATTGTGGTTGTGTTGCTGGGTAGGAATGGCCAGGTCTGTGATTAATCACAAGTTTCGATTATAAAGCCCTATTAACCGAAGCTTTGGGTGGTGGTGCTTCTCTGACTATCTCAATGCTTGAAGCATTGCTGATGACTATATGTCTGAAGCTTATGTATTGTTGGCCACATTTCAATGATTATTAAATGGGACTATCATAGCTTTATGTACACCTGAAACTATATTGCTCTACTCTTTATGGATAGTTGTTGTCAACAAAGTCATCAACAGAGCTGCTATTCTTCAGTGTAATTTACAAAAATTAAACTATTAAAGGTTATGGTGAGTTTTAGGGGGCAAATTTCTTGCCTCCTTAGTTTAAGAGGCTAGGCAGGGTGCTATAAGAAATGATAAATAGTTAAATACATCTCAAAGACAGGTTTGCTTTGTCCACTCTCATGAATAAACTTCCCTGGTTTTGATTTTAAAAATATTTGTAATATATTTTGTCTCAATGTACTGTTATAATTACATTATTATGCCTGAGTTTAGATTGGTTGCCAAATCGTTGAGATTGGGCAATAGCTTTTTGGGGTCCTGTATGAGACACATTAATGAAGCTAAACTTATGATTCAATGGCTTCAAGCCTTCAAGTGAAAATTTGATTTTATTGGTGCCAAAGCTTGCTTGTTATGGCCATTGGGCCTTCTCTCCTTTATGTTGATAATTTGCTGTGAATCATTGTGCCTTCTAAGGTTGTAAACTTTGGACTGACCAGAACATAATACAGTTTAACATAGCGCTAAATACAGGCTTGAAGGCCTCGTAATGCTTCCCGTTGTCAGTTAATTTTAACTTTCCTTGTATAAGGTAAACTCTATCCGATAGGATAAACTGGACAGGAATATGACCAGCATAGTACATGATAGTTAGAGTATCCTATATTGCTCTTGATTGGCAGTAGCTTTCAATTGAACCAACCCCAATCCTTACAGCAAGTCTTTTTTCCTTCCCTTTTCCCTTTGTGCTCAAGACATCAAAAGCTGTACTGTTTTCATCATTCGGTTATTCGAGGAGAGATTCCTAAAATGTCAAGCTGGTGCACACATGTTCTTTGTATGACAATTTTTTTTACACTGATGCTTTGGTCCATACATTTTTCCATGCTAGCCGTTGGGAGGTTCTACTCTGTCTAGTTCTTGTTTTTGTTGGCTTGTTGTTGCGTGCTTGGTGACTGTTTTCTGTAATAAATTTGGGGATGCTCTGGTACTTGGTAGACATAAAACACAAATGCTAATGACTAGCCTGTACCAACTCACACGTATATCCTTTGCATAGATTCAACTTGTCTCTTTCACATATACTGTCAAGTTGTGGATGAATTAGAAATGTACTGGCATTGTGTAGCTTGTGAAATGGATCAATGATTAAGAAAACTCTCAAGAATCTCTTGACATTTTTTGACATTTTGAATTTATGTAGGGTAGTTTTTGGAATAATGACCCCAGACTTTTGACATTTTTTATACCAATCTCAGAGATCAGCTAGGAGTTCCTCCTAAAATCTGCATACGTTGTACCTATCATATTTTCTTGGATGTATTTATTAAGCTGATTTTCTTAAGGATATTGCCTTAATCTGACACAAATTGTGAATAGATGGAGTGGTCAGCCAATGAAAATTCCATGGACTTTTGAAGCGCAAGAGACAATGTACCTGCTGGAGGGTAAAGTGAAGGTTTCAGTTGATGGGCAGGAGGGATCTTTTGAAATTGGAGGTGGTGACTTGGTTGTATTCCCTAATGGAATGAAGATTACCTGGGAAGTACTTGAAGCTGTGACGAAGCATTATCACTTAGAAAAGTAATTGTAAGTACATATTCACGGCATTCCTAGATGATATGATCGTATTCATGTCTTATTTTCACTCATATATTAACCTTGTATTCAAACATTGTATATAGCTCCAATTTGTGAGCTTGCTGAATATTCCAGGGGCTCTAATTGGCAGCTTGACTAATGTAGTAACATTAATTTCTAATATGCTTCAAATAGAGACTGGCTCTACTAATTTGTGCTCTTCACTTGAAGTGAATTCAGTGTAAGCCGTGCAATAATTTACAAAAAAAAAGCTTTGTTGCTATTACTTATTATTTGCTTTAGTAAGTAATGTGGCTCCTGTCATCTTCTTGTTTATCCAGACCATTCCTTATTTTTAACTCTCTGTCTTTCTTGGATCCATACTGCGGTCAATTATCCTTTTTTTTTTTTTTTTTTTTTTTTTTTTGTTGTTGTTGTTGTTGTTGCAGTGAGAATTGTCCGGGAATGAGATTTTGAAAGATTACTTTTGGAGAATTAGAAGATAGATTGTAAAACGTTTTTTTTCCTCAAAATTTTTCACTCGCATTTCAATCATTGGATGGTCTAATAACCGGAGAGATTTGTCACTTGATTTGGCGGTGGGGGTAGGGAAAGGAGAGAGAGGGGGGGGGGGGTGTCAACTTGTAAGTCATTACAGATTTAGTTGTACATGATTTGAAGAGAGGCAAGTAGTCATTAAGTACATGTTGGAGTGAAAGGGATTAAATGACTTCTTGGTGGTTGGCATTGACGACGCTGATGCATGTTTTAAGGATAATGTATCTCATAAGACCCTTGTAACAACATTCGTAGTGTGTCCTAAAAAGACTTACGAGGTACACAAGTAGTACATAAAGAAAAGCCAACATCAGCAAATAGAAGGTGTGGTCCTGAAATTGGCTAAATGTTACGGGTATTTTGGATTTTGCTTCCCATAATTTTTGACAAGACAATAGGACATATGCCTGACGTGCACAATATAACATGGTCTCAAAAAGATGATTGAGAGCATTTTTTTTTTTGCGCTAAAGTTGATAAATTGAGTTTTTTTTTTTTTTTTTTTTTTGACAAGAAGATAATTGAGTGTGTATGAACAATAAGTATAAAGTATAAACCCAAAAGAGACAAAGAATAACATTACAAGGAGAAAGAAGCTATGAATTTAATCATGAAACTTGCATGAGTAAGGCAAACCTTTAACAAAGGATAAAGGGTCTTCATCATGTATAAGGGAAGTAAATTCAAAGAATAATTCAGGAGGACTATAAGGCTTTGTTATGCTTGCCTTATTTCCACGCATATCAGGTCTAATAAGTTAAGGTAATGTATCATAAGCTCTTGTTAAGTGAAAATCCGATGAATGAAATACACCCTTAGTTATAAGCTCTATTCTCGCCTTTAGATTAAGTTTGATAAATTCAAGTTAGATGAGATAAGTGAAATTCATGATTACCTTAGTTGTAATTTAAACTTGGATGACTCTTATTAATTATTATCTAAATTTATTTTTCAAACCTGTCTAAACTTATTATAAATAACGTAATATTTCTGTAGTATTATTTTCTTTTTGGATTGATTCATAAATATTACATGAAGCAAATTAAAATGAATATAACAAAATCCATACGATTATGGTAAAAAAAGATTGTGTAAATAGTGTAAAAGTCAACATTGTGCAATATTTGTAAAACGGAAAAAAATATGAGCGAAATGGTACCATTTTCATTTTCATCCCTCCTCAATCCTCAACATACATATGTCTTTGTCTATTTTCATGAAAGCGAAGCCAACAGTCTTAACACAACAGCAGCTATACATTAACATTTAGCAGTGCATTCAATAAATATAATGTTGCCCCCACTTTTAAAAATGATCATAAGTATCACACCACATATTCACATTTGACAGCTTAGAATGCTAAGACCATGACTCAAGTCTTTATCAGTCACCAACCAAAATAGTAGTAGTCTCCAACAAGGGTCCCCTTTTTTATCCTACGGAAATCTTCACTCTTGTAGGTCTTCCTTTCTGCTTTGTTCTTTTCTCAATTGTATATTGTACGATTGTATTCTGGCAGACCAAGGTTTTGAGCTATTTCCATAAAATTTAAGTGGCTGTTTGGTTAACATAAAAAAACATAAAAGTTAGAATTTCTTTAGAAAAAGAAGATGGTGTTATTTGATCAACGTAAACATGACAAGCCAAAAACCAATAAAGTCAAACTATTTATCAAACATAGTCTTTGTTGCATACGAATCATACTTTGGATTAGTAATGATTTTGAATAAGACGTTAGAAGTGACTCGAAATGTTATTGTCGAAAAATCGTGTGTAATAAATTTGCTTAGTTTAGCAATACAACTGACTAGAAAATCAAACGATACCATAAAAAGCATTTGGTGAGCATTAAGATATCACAATCGAAATGTGATTGCTTATTTCTAGAAAAGAAAGAAACACAGGACGAAAAGTGGCTTTGAGTACAAATATAAGTAGTCAGAGTCACAGAAACATTTCTACATAAGCAATTAAAACTTGCTTAATCAATTAAGATAACATCTCATTGTGATTGTTGGATTGAGTCCATCAGAAGTCCTTTCTTGTAGCTTCCTTAATTTAATCTAACATGACATTTCGTCCAAAAGAACATTCACATTCAAAGACTGACTAGAGATGAAAAGTCAGCAGATCAAAAACGAGGCTACTCAACCCTGTGAAAGCAAGTGAAATCAGAAAATTGACTCTTGCTTCCCGGCGAAGATATGCCAGTGTTTCAGTCAATCAAAAAACCCAGTTTTCTACTTTCGCCGTAGATTTAAGCCAACCAAACAGCCACTAAAAACTTAAACCAGAAAAAGATCCTGAGAACAATACCATAAATACAAAAGCAGAGACTACATGTGCTGCAAGCCTGTAAGGGCTGTAACCATACTTTGTGCCGTTGGATCTGGTATCAACTATCTCTTATTAAAGAATAAGCAGCATCTCCACAAAATCAGAAGATGGTTACAGTAACAAATCCAAAGTTTAGATCCACACTTCCCAAAACATCGCCACAAGAAATTGGAGTAAACAAATTCCATAGCTCGAAATCCATTATATATATGCACCGATACTACCTCGTATCCAAAATTGTCTCATTTACTATAGTAGAATAATTCTTGATCCTTGATCAGAGTTAATCCAACTAGGCCAACATTTTGAATCTTAAATCTTAGGAGCTCCATAGATTCTCTCTGTTATCTCCTTGAATTCAGGATCATACTTGAGGTAGAAGAGGAATATACGAGTAGCATCTTTCAGAACTATGGGTGGACATGTTGCTACAAATGGTAATACAAACATTTTCTGCAGCAGAAAACTGGCGGAGTACCCTTACAGGTCCAGAGTTGCCTTCTATTAAAGAGCAAGAACATCGAAAGCTAATTCGACAACCATGGACCTTCCCAACAAAAGACTTGACATGTTATCAGTGACAAACTGCACAAACTAAAACAACAGTTCTCTAAATTCTTGAGAGAGGATACATAGGAAGCCTTTGCTCAGTAACAACTCAACAAGAAAGTTCCATCCAAAGCCGAGCAAAATATTAGGCCAATAAATATAATATGATTATCAATAAATCTTTGCGAGAAGAAAGCAAAAGAAGAACACATATGAAGGCACCATGTCCTAGTTTTATTGAAATTGCATTGCAATACTACGAGTCCACGAATTGGAATAAGTTCTATTAATGATGAATTCTACATTTGCTGAAACTACAACGAATTACAATCTCAAGAGAGTAAAAATGAGAAAAGCAAAAAAGATGGTTCTTGTACAGCTTATAATGCCCTAACAATGTTCTGTAACCCCAAAACTTCCTCCACCAAGGGGGGAAGCAAGTATTCTCTCATAATAAGGCATCGTCAAAATAACACAGACAGGACATAATCGGAGCAGCAATGAGTAAACAAACCTCGAAAAAACAATCATAAGAAGAATCAATGAACAAGAATTTAGCATAATCCTACCGTGGAAGTGTGGAACATTGAATAATTTAAGCAACACCGAGACTCATCACACAGCACTCTTCTTCCCTCCTGGCTTATAGTAATTGAGGTACCATCTAACAAACTTCTTCAACCCGGTCTGCAGATCCGTTGTAGGCTTATACCCAAGCTCCCTCTGAGCATAGCTAATATTAGCATGTGTATACTGCACATCACCATTCCTAGGCAATTTCATCACCATCCTCTTCGCCTTCACCTTCAGCAGCCTCTCCAATATCGAAACAAGATCAGAAACAGGAACAGGCGACGTGTTCCCCAAATTAAACACTCTCAATTGAGCAGCACCAGTCTTCTTACCCCCACTACCAGTACTCTTCTCAGCAGTATCCAATGCCCCTAAACACCCCTTCACAATATCATCAATGTAGGTAAAATCCCTAGCAACTGTCCCATGATTTGCAGCCTCGAAAATCGGTATCGATTTCCCCTTCAATATATCCTTAGTAAAGAAAAAATAAGCCATATCTGGTCTACCCCAAGGCCCATAAACAGTAAAGAACCTCAACCCAGTTAAAGACAGTCCATATATATGATTATAAGTATGAGCAATTTCTTCCCCAGCTTTCTTAGTTGCAGCATACAAACTAGCAGGTTGATCTGTCCTATCTTTTTCAGAAAATGGTACTTTTGTATTCAATCCATAAACAGAACTAGATGATGCCCAAACAATAGCAGGTTGTGGATTTGCAGATTTACAAATTTCCAACAAACTAACAAATCCAGCAATATTACTATGAACATATGAACCAGGATTTTGCATTGCATACCTAACTCCTGCTTGTGCTGCCAAATGCATTACATGAGTAAAAGCGACTACCTCAAACAACTTCTTCAAGAGTGCTTGATCATTAATGTCTCCTTCAACTATGAACACCCCGCTTCGCTCAAGCAGAGCCTGCCTCGCTCGCTTGAGCGAAGGATCATAGTAATCGTTGAAGTTGTCAAACCCCAATACACCATCGCCTCGCCGCTTCAAGGCGGCCGAGACGTGGGTGCCAACGAACCCAGCAGCTCCGGTCACAAGCACGGAAAACCCATTAGATGCACGAACTTTAGCCGAGTTTCGAACCCGCTTCTCCCATGATGGACCGCCCCAGGAGAAGGTCCGGAGGGAGCGGCGGGTTGTGTCTCCAATGGTGGATGAAGATGAAGATGATGATGTCGATGAAGATGGAGAAGAAGAAGATGATGATCTGAAGAAGAACATTAGAATTAAACCCAGAAAAATGAAGGACCAAAATGTGAGTTTTACAAGAGGAGTTGAATGCCATCTTAAACGATGATGATGATGATGAATGTAGGATGATTTATCCATCTTGAATTTTCCTGGTGTTGATGGGTTGTTATCTAAATGAGGCATTTTCTACATTCAAAATCAAAACCACACCAACCCCAAAAAAAATTGAATTTTTTTTTTGAGATAATTTTATTTTTTTCCTCTTCTTTTCTTTGAACCTGCAGCTATTTATTCAACAAAACCCAGAAAAATTTATGCGAAAATGAGGAATAAAATTTATGGGTTTTTCTTGAAATTGAGTTTTGGAATCTGGGTTTTGCTCAAAATGTTTTTATTTTTTTTTTTATTTTTTTGTATTCAAGGGAATAGATTGTTCAACAATGGAGATTTGTTTTTGGTTTTTTTTTTTTTTTTGGGTGTTTTTTTTTTCTCTCTTGTTTCTCTCTCAAAGTGAGCAGGAAATGGAGTTGAAGATAAGGGATGGAAAAAGGGAGGGAATCTTCAGGTTTCTTGGAGATGTTATAGTTGTTGTTGATGGTAGAGAGAGAAAACAAGAGAAAAAAGGCCTTTTTGAGGGTGGAGTTTCAGAGAGGCAAAGGTGGGAGAGATTTGATTTTTGATTATAGAGGAGAGAGAAACAAGAGGATGATTTATTATTATTATTAAAAAATAAAAATATTAATTTAAAATATTTTATTTTATTTTGTTTTTGTTAGAGAAAATGGGCAAATAGGGGTGATTAAAAAGAATAAATCAATCAATTGGAAGCAACTAAATAGGAGGAGATTTATAAAGAGTCAAAGGCAGTAAAAAAAAAATGACAATGGTAAAAAAGTTTGGTATGAGTAATTGTTAAATTTATGTCATACTACATTACTACCTTCCTTTTTGGTGATTATAGTAGTACTATGAACTTGGAGTTTATGGTTAAAAGAAAGTGGAATTTTCATTTAATGCTTGTTGGGTTTGCTAAATTTAACAACCTCAAATCACAAGAAAGTCAAAACTTTAAGTGAGATTAGAAAATACATTAATTAATTAATAAAAATAAATGAACATAAGTATTAGGAAGTAATTTGATTGGTCATAATGCCTAAAATTTAGACATTCTATTAAATTATACTCCAATCTATTTTTAAGCAATTAAGAGTGAGAGGTTAAGATTTAAATGATTTTGGATCTTTGAGATTTGTTGTGGGCGGGAGGGGATGAGATTTGGTGCTAATTATGGATTATTTTCCAGAGTTTATTCAATGAGTTGATTATTGGGGGTAAAGATTGCCAATAATATGCTTCAAAATGAAAAAAAAAAAAAAAAAACCACCAATAATAAGGACGGTTGATAGTATTTCATGATATATCTATTTGAAATTTATGATTCATTTGAATTTGCTCTTCTATACTGTGACTTTCATTTTAATTAGTACTACATAAGTACATAGTATGTTAGCTGAAACACTCGATCAAATTTGGACATGTCAAATAATTCGTGTACTACATAAATAATAAAAAGTACAATCTTAATTAGAAGGCCAAATTATAGATGGATAAATGAAATCTCATGTTTCATTAACTTCAAAATATCAAATTTCATTATGAGGATTGTTTGAGACATGAGTATATTTAAAGGGTGATGTTATAGCTTACGCTCAAAATCTTAATTGGTTGTAACCAGCCTACAACAATATAGTTATTGAGTCAAGTTTTGAACATAATTAAGTATTAATTTGAACATATAATTGTTTGCAAGTGTAGATTGACTTTTTCACACTAGTAATTGTATTTAATCAATGATAGATTCGTAAAAGAACTAAATTGAATATAATTCAGGAAATCATTACTATTTTTTAAATTCAATACATGTTCTTCAAGAAATTTCTCGTGCTGTATAAGTAGAAATAATTTTAACCATAAAATCATAAGACAACACCTAATATGAGCTTAGTTTATTATTTAAATGCTACTTCAAATTGAGTTTGGTCAAACCCGATAATTAAATGAGTTGAATGAAGAACAACATATCTTGTGTTGATAAGCACATGAGGAAAATTCAATTTACGTGTTAAAGTAAAATAAACAAGTTACAAGTTACAATTTATAAATCAATCGAATTACATAACTACAATCCTAGATTTGCAAAGTATATACTTCATATTACCTCCAACTTTTGGCAAAAATATGAGCAACATTACTTAATAGAATGAATTTCACACCTTTAATAGGCTTAGATCTTATAATTCAACCTCGAACTCAACTTAGCTTGGCTAACACCAACTTATACTCGATCATCTAACTCTATCTAGTGAAATGCAAGCTATTAAGTCAAGGATCATACACATACACATACACATGCACATGCACAAGCACATGCACATACATATCCATTCATCTCACATCCATTATCTCATGAAATGCATCTTAGTCACACCACTATTCACACAAACATGAAACATAGGGCCAAAATTAAGGGTGCGAAACGGTTGATGTCTACAATTAACAACACCACACATCAAGATCCAGATTACAAATTAGTTCATGGTCTTAGACAGACACGACACCTATGTGTTTGTCGCCAGTCCAACAAATAGGTACACATTTGTTTACGTTGCATACTTGCACGTATGACTTTTAATTTATAAATTGATTTTAATATATTGATAGACGTAAAACCTTCATAAAAGGCAATTAATGAATGCGTAAGGATCAAATCCAGTTTTCGAAATAAATTTTGGACGTGCTTCGATCTTATTATTAATTTTCTGTGGGACTTATTTGTTTGTTAGTACGTGACTACGTTTGAAAGAAGAGAATTAATGAAAAGGGGGACAGAAACATGTGAAGGTGAAATAAGGCCTCAATTTTGTGATATTGGGCAGATGTACATGCTACTAAAAACAAGCTTGATAAAGAGGCAATTATAGCATCTTTTCTCGGATATCTTGTATTCCAATCAATATTTACTCTATGACTTAATTGACTTCGTTGAGTCTAGACTACTTTTGTGAAGGTTTGAGATTTAGACAATAAATAGTGTATAATCTTATTGAGTAGTAACAAACGATAAAAATCAGATAAAAATTTAAAAATAATCGATCTTTAATTTATAAGGCATTTTCAGTTACACCGACAAAATTTATAAACAATTAAGTCAATAATATACTCCGGTATTATGTAATCTTTATATTAATTAGATCTATATAATATTACCTCCAAACAAAATTTGCTGGAACAAACAAGGTATAAATCTTCAGCTTAAAGTTTCTCTAATAATGGGAGAAAATTAAGTCATACAATAATTTATTCAAAACTTCATTCTCTATGTCCCACATTCTCCCTTCTACACTCATAATCATAGAATTCACCTAATTGGTTGTTTTAATTGTTTGAGTTTATGTTTATTTATAATTATTTTTTCTGTTTGCTCAATGTAAAAAGTTGTAAGCTTTTGCTAGCATCTTCTTTTGAGCATTCATATCATTGAAATACCTGTTTTTTTTTTCTACTAATTAAATTGTAGTCTATGTCGAGAAATATAAAAATAATTGGCAAATAATACTTACGAGTACTTAAAATATAGGATGACAGATTAAAGATATATAATACTCTGTATATTACAAAATAGCGAGCTCATACTCAAATATCAATTAATTTTAGGATTAATTGACTCAACAACTAATATCGAAATTAGAGTTGACCTAAACACGTAATTATAGAAGTGGCGAACTAGTGATAAGATGGTGCACGAGTTAATAATAAGATAAGTAGTTTTATTGAAATGAGAAGTGGTCTTAGGAGAAGCAAGTAGCTCTTTAAATTAAGAAAATGCTTATCAATATTTTAAGCAAAAATTAGAGTTAGTGTGTAAAGTTGAGTAATAAATTGGGAAAAGTGAATCACAGTCCAAATTATATTTAGGAACCGCAAAGAACATGATGGCCAGACTACAAAGAAAGAAAGACCAAAAAACAAACATGTTTACCTTCCACCTTTCCTTTTCTTTGCTTTTTAATAATCACTTTGTCACATGCTACAATTTTTGGCGGTGATGAGGTATTAACTCACTTTCTTTTCTTTTAATCAATCATTTGACCCGATTGTGGTTGGTCTCCCATTTGTAATTTGGCCCCACATAAAAATATACTCTTAATACAAAATAACCTCTTAGTCCCTCCGTCTCTTTAGGATTGTTTCATTTTTATTGTTCATATATATATTGAAAGTTGTGTTGAGCATATAAAGTGGAGAGGAAGTAACTAAGAAGAAAGTGCGAAAATAGTTTAAGAAACCTTCTATGAAAAATTGGGACAAGTTTTAAGGGATGGAGATTGGAGATAATTCTTTTCATTGATAGTGTTCAAGTTTGATCTTGATTATAGCAGATATTTAGCCTTAATTATCCATTGCAACCAAGCTAGATTAAAAGAAGCATGATCTGCAAAGAAACCCTAATCTTAATGTTGTAATTTAATAAATTGGATACTTAAGGTTATACTCCGTATTACGTATATTGGTTATCTTCTTATATAAATCACAAGATGAGCAAAGGTGCCTATGTATCTAAATATAGGTTATAAGTACACCCGAGTGTAAAATGTTGGAAAGCGGTTATAGTTGTACTTTATTTTTCCTTTTCTAATCTGCCATTTTCCTGACATGTCAGATTGTCAGTTACTATAACACCCAACCCCCTCAAATAAAGAAATCACCGACCACTGCCAAACATCAACACTAATAAAGATTATTTTACTCATGTTGGAAAGAAGTGAAGACGATGAACAATTTGAAACAACAGTATGGAACTCACATTATCAAAATATGGTGTCCAATTCTACAGTTATTGCTGTCGAGTTCAGACCCCAATACTAGTTTCTAAATCACATTTTCATAGTTCATCCTTTCAAGAATTTTATTTCTAACTGGCCTGATACAAAATTAATACACTGTATAAACTAAAATCTTACAAACATAATACAAAAGAATGTGGCGAAAACTCAAGCTGAAAGCATTTTAATCTTGATTCGAATTTGAGTGTGGCGTATGCTCTAGATAATCCATAGATGGCAACTCAGTGCTTGGCAAACCTTTCCAAAACATCAAAGTAGTCTGGGAAGGTTTTGCGGGTGCACCCTGGGTCGTTGATGGTGACGGGAACATCAGCACAGGCAGCAAGAGAGAATGCCATGGCCATTCGGTGATCATCATATGTGTCAATGGCTGTCACGTTTAGTTTCTCAGGTGGAGTGATCACACAGTAATCAGGTCCTTCCTCAACGGTTGCCCCAAGCTGAAAATTATTAAAGTGAACCAAATGAACACCAATTTATGTCAAATGCAGTTTTCAACAAAGTTTAAAACCTACAAGAAAGTGTAATATCCAACAGCACTAACCTTTCTTAGTTCTGTGCAAATGGCAATCATCCGTTCTGTTTCCTTCACTCTCCAGCTAGCAACTGTTCATTCACATAACAAATATCACGGCCCATTTTTCTTGTACACATATCATACATGCTAAAGGAAGTATAGTCGTATAGACCACAAATGGTTTCCGTCACCAATAAAACCAAATCACGCTCTGTTCCCATCACCAAAAGAAAAAAAAAACTTTACACTGGAATGGTGAATTTGTGCACATATGTAATAATTAGATAGTATACTTTAGACCACAGACTATATTGACT